AGAGATAGAGAGAGAAGAGAGAGAGAGAGAGTAGAGAGAGAGAGAGATGAGAGAGAGAGAGAAGAGGAGAGAGAGAGAGATAGATAGAGAGAGAGATAGAGAGAGAGAGAGTAGAGAGAGAGAGAGACGAGAGAGAGAGAGATATAGAGAGAGAGAGAGAGGAGGAGAGAGAGAGAGGAGAGAGGAGAGAGAGAGAGAGAGAGAGATAGAGAGAGATAGAGAGAAGAGAGAGAGAGAGAGAGAGAGGAGAGAGAGAAGAGAGAGAGAGAGTAGAGAGAGAGAGAAGAGAGAGAGGAGAGAGAGAGAGAGAGATGAGAGAGAGAGAGAGTAGAGAGAGAGAGAGATGAGAGAGAGAAGAGGAGAGAGAGAGAGATATAGAGAGAGAGAGAGGAGAGAGGAGAGAGAGAGAGACGAGAGAGAGAGAGAGAGAAGAGAGGAGAGAGAGAGAGGAGAGAGAAGAGAGATAGAGAGAGGAGAGAGAGAGATAGAGAGAAGAGAGAGAGAGAGGAGGAGAGAGAGAGATATAGAGAGAGAGAGAGATAGATAGAGAGAGAGAGGAGAGAGAGAGGAGAGAGAGAGAGGATAGAGAGAGAGAGAGATATAGAGAGAGAGAGAGGAGGAGAGAGAGAGAGAGAGAGGAGGAGAGAGAGAGAGCGAGAGAGAGAGAGAGATAGAGAGAGATAGAGATAGAGAGAGAGAGAAAGATAGAGAGAGAGAGGAGAGGAGAGAGAGAGGAGAGAGAGAAGAGAGAGAGATAGATAGAGAGAGAGATAGAGAGGAGAGAGAGAAGAGAGGAGAGAGAGAGAGAGAGAGAGAGAAGAGAGAGATAGAGAGAGAGAGAGCGAGAGAGAGAGAGAAGAGAGAGAGAGGAGGAGAGAGAGAGAGAAGAGAGAGAGAGAGAGAGAGAGCGAGAGAGAGAGAGAGAAGAGAGAGAGAGAGAGAGAGAGCGAGAGAGAGAGGAGAGGAGAGAGAGAAGAGATAGAGAGAGAGAGAGATGAGAGAGAGAGATAGAGAGAGAGAGATAGAGAGGAGAGAGAGAGAAGAGAGAGAAGAGAAAGAGAGAGAGAGAGAAGATAGAGAGAGAGAGAGAGAGAGAGAGAGATATAGAGAGAGAGAGAAGAGAAAGAGAGAGAGAGAGAAGAGAGAGAGAGAAGAGAAAGAGAGAGAGAGATAAGAGAGAGAGAGAGAAAGAGAGAGAGAGATATAGAGAGAGAGAGATAGAGAGAGATAGAGAGAGATATATATATAGATAGATATAGATATATAGATATATAAATATATATATTATATAATATATATATATAGAGATAGAGAGAGATAGAGAGAGATAGAGATAGAGAGAGAGAGAGAGATATAGAGAGAGAGAGATAGGAGAGAGAGAGAGAGATAGAGAGATAGATAGAGAGAGAGATAGAGATAGAGAGAGATAGAGAGATAGATAGAGAGAGAGATAGAGATAGAGAGAGATATATATATATATATATATATATATATATATATATATATATATATATATATATATATATATAATATATGTATATATAATATATATATATATATATATATATATATATATATATATATATATATAAATATATATATATATATATATATAAATATATATATATATATATATAAATATATAAATATATCTATATATAAATATATAAATATATCTATATATAAATATATCTATATATAAATATATCTATATCTATATCTATATCTATATCTATATATATATATATATATATATATATATATATATATATATATATATATATATATATATATGATTAACAGCAAAATAAATGTGCTAAACATCTAAGGTCATGTAGCACTGTAGTAAATGGTAGTGAAGGTTGGTTGATTTAGTGATTAGTTGTTAAAGCTGGGCAAAGGAAATGACGAGTGAATGAGTTAAGGACGGGTAAGGTAATGTAAAGGGGTTATATTAAGTGGATATATAGGTCTGGTCTGGTATGGCAAACTTACTCAGCTTGTATTCCCAAATACGCCCTTCTTCATTTAGAATTGATTGCAGCTGGTATCTCCTATATCTAGGCTAGCCTGGTTTCAGCAAGGGTCCTATTTGGGGGGTCTGGTAGGGCCCATCCACTCATTAATGTGTCCATTTTTTAGGTTAGCCGAGGTGAGCCCCAGAGTCGAGGGGTACATAGTTGGGGTGTCTGGTGACAACCTACCAGCCGAATTTTTCTCGAATAAACTTTATTAGACTTTGTTTATTGAACATTTTCATTTGGCTAGCCTAATTATGAGGCCCTTTCTAGGGGGTCTGGCAGGACATCTCCACTCAAAAAAATATCTGTTGTTTGTACTGTTGATGGAGATTTGTTAATAGGTAGACATTATATAAGATTATCAATCATCTATGTCCAAACCACATTTTTGCCCCTTATGGGGGTTCCCATCCCTACCCCCACCAGGGGATCCCCGGCAGACTTTGAACATTCCAGGTGATCCACAAAATAACCCTATGCTTAGATATTGGTATCTAGTTCGTCTCTGGGCTGCCGGTCTATCAACATGTCACAAACACATCCCAGACACCTGCATACCCGTACGCGTCATTCAGTACAATGTATAATGTACATTATATTATATATACTATATACACTATTTACTTGGAATATCAAAAATTATTACAAGGGTTCCTCCAAGGGGTAAGGTTAGGAATCATTGGCCTAACTTCAACACGTAAGCCCCACCACCGCGTAAAGGTAGTGTATCTTGAAGGGATGCGATGCCCCTAGTAAAGGTACAAAGTCATTATTGGCCATGGTAAGCCTGGGGTATGTAGTGGAAGAGAAATGATTCACCACTCGGGGGTTCCCATTTTCACATTTTAGATAAGGCTAGGTTAGGTGAGACCAGTGAAAATTGGTTGAGCCTAGGGCTGAGGCCCAAAGGAGACTGTAAAGCGTTCATCAGCCATACTGATCGTCAGTCACACATATGTGAATCCCACAATTGTGTTATTACACATTTATGGAATAATAACTGCTTCTAACATGTCGATGTGGTATAAAGTCTATTTATAAATTCCACTATCAACATTTTGTTTACAGCATATGGCCGTAATCTAATTTTCGTTACAGAAACAGGATAAGGTTTCCTTTCATTTCACTTAAATAAGAAGAAAAGGCTTTCCATATATAATTTAAAATTACCTAAATGCTTTTATTTAATTGTTAATGGTTATAAAGCAAAATGTGCTAGATATTTAGCAATGTAAACATGTAGTACTGAAAAGGCTAGAGTAAATTGATTAAATGTAATACACGTCAAAAGTCGTATTACAGTTCAGGATAGTATAGCACTGAACGGGGGAAAGATATAAGAGGGAAGAGAGGGTGACTAAATGGGCTAAGATAGGGACAAAAAAAAATCAATCCCATTTGGCTGGGCTAAAAAAAGTACTCAAAAGATTTGCTGAGGTGGGGGTAGAGAAGGACGGAGCCCTGTGGTAGAGAGAGTAGTGTGGAGTGCGGACATTAGGCATTGAGGAGGGGGGTAGTAGTGTCCAGAATCGTTATCAAAGGAGAGTCTCAGGTCAGGAAATCGAAGGAATTAAAATCAGAAGGACTAGTTAATAAAGGGGCAAGCCTCACTGCCCTTAATAAAGGTACAACTTCTTCATTACTGGCTATGGTAAGCCTGAAGTATGTTGGAGGGAGAAATGATACAAGAAGTGGTAAGTGCTAGACAACTAAAAGGGGGAATACCTTGCCTATGGTTCCCCCAGGCCGTCCATGACAAGCACAAACTCAACATTAGGAAGTGGATAGTAGAAGGGGTTGGAGAAGAGAAGGAAAAAGGAGAGGGGTAGAATAGAAGACTGTTTAGCTGAGGCGAGGGCTTAGGTCCAAGGTAGGAGTGATCTCCAACATTGGGCCTCAGTCTCTTTTTCCGAAGTTTCCCATGGCAACAACGGGCATGGGATGGGGGGTGGGGGGTAAAAAATAGTATATTATAAAAGAAAAAAAAAGTTATGCATCACTAAACAATCACAATGACAATTTTCTAGAAATAGACGTTCAATTCAGTGGGGTAGCTTCGATATTTACTTAGTTCCTGAAAAATTTCTGCCGCGTATACAGAATATTGGGATAAGGTTGGGCTTGGGTGCAAAGCCCACAGATAAAGTTTTTTGGTTCATTAAGGCAATGTTTGTGGATTTCCAGAATGATCTAAACAAACAAATGTACCAGACAAAGGTTCCATGGCATTATGGTAAAGTATTGTGGAGAAAACGAAAATATGAGTTAACGATTCTGATAAGAGGGCAGAAGGGGATGAAGAGAAAGAAAACGGTAGGAAGGGGGAGCTGAGAGGGCATAGTATAAGGTACAAGTTGTTAGAAGGGGAAGGAGTTAAGGGAGTAGGGAGCATTATGATAAAGTATTGTGGAGAAAAGGGCATGAGTTAACGATTAGGACAAGTGGAAAGAAACAAGGATATGAAGGAGAAGAAAATACCATGCAAAATTAGGTAAGACGAGAGCGGAGGTCCAAGGCAACAGTGATCCCCAACATGGGCCCCAAGTCCTAAGCCCCCTTCCCACGACAACGAACAAGGGATTGGGGGAGTATTTATGCATAATCATGGATGTTGAAACTAATCATTTGACACCAAGACTCATTGATATCAAAGGCTGATCATATAACAGTTGAGTCAATGGATCCAACTTTCATTGAATCTATAATTAGAAAACTAAACTACTGTGTATAATCTTGCCAAGTAAAAAATGAGTGGGTTTGTCATTTCATGGTTTACAGTAACATTGTGATAATGTGCAAAATGCACACAGTTTTCCTTCTACAATCATGTTCATCAGGACACTTCATTCAAAATTGAAGTTTTAATCTTACATCTTCAGCCTTCATGAGTGCCTTCGTCTTATGAATACTTTTAAACAGATGTTAGTATTGTCTATATAAATCTGTAAAACACAAAGAAAGGATGGTGAAATGCCTCCATTTTTGTATAAATTTATTGAAACAATTTTACAAAGTTTATTTTCAATAAACAATTGCATAATTACATAGATGAATTATTCACTGGAGTAATAATTATATGAGCAACTGCAATTACAGTACAAAAGGGAAATTATTTCACAATCAAATATGTCTAATCTCCTTCCTTAGAATACAACAGTTTTTGAATGCAAGCAGTGATTATCTTAAAACAATGGTGTAACTCACCAGAAATACCAGTCACCTTTGCATGGTTTTTATATAATACTTATTTGGTCCAACTACCAATGTACTTAGTGAGTGCAGATTCAATAACCTCAAACTCCTCAGGACTGAAACGTTCAATCCAAGATTTGGCTACACAATCTACTGCCTCAGGATAAGATTGTAACTCCACATCTTCTCCAACTACACGAGTATTTGGCATTGCAAGAATCATGCGAGGGCGGCGTTTTCTCACCACAATCTCATGCCACTTGGCAAATGGGAAGGGGCCTTCCGAGGGTACCTCTGAATACTTCTCAAACATGGCTCTTCCAGCATCTGCATCACCCATAGACCTGTAAACCTGAAGCTTTTTCAAAAACTCTCCCATTGCCTGACGGCCAACAGTGTATATTTTGGATCGGTCTAAAGTGAGTAAGAGATCTGGTAGACCATCATCTCCAGTTGTTTCTTTCACACTGACTAATCCTTCACCAGCCTCTAGTGCTACTCTTAAAATGACATATCTGGCCTGAGAATGAGCCTGGCCCCACTTCCCCTGACTGGGCTGATACATTTCTAAGCCCCTAATGCCTGCATACATCATATCTAACCAAGACACATATTTGAGGTCTTCACGATCATCAGGTACCACACCAAATACATCCAGAATATCATCAACCAATCCTAAATACAATGCAACTGTTTCTGCTCTACATTCCTCGTAAGCACTTGCCAAATTTGT